CATACCCTAAAAACATAGTGACTAATGTTAGTGCATTTTCAAACAGTATAGGTCTTCTCTATGGCAATGCTTTGACAAGTGAATAAAAAGTAAACATGAAAAAACTAATATTCACATAGTTCTAAAAACTGTGATATAAAAATGTAAAAGCAGTTATGGGTATTGCATTTATCTGTTTGAAGTAAAACAGAAAAATGCATGCAAAATTTAATAATGTAAAAACAATACAGAGATTCTTTTGGGCTCAAAAAGAGACTAATCTGTCCTGTTTTTTCCTCCCCTTCTCTAAGATCAAAATGCCTTAAACCATTTTTGGATTAAGATAAATATGTGTATTTAAATGAAAAATAACTGACAAGGAATTGGGCTTGACTGCTTCAACAACTTTATAAAATATTTACCATTAAAAACAGATTATCTTGTGGTTGGGTGCAGTGGCTCATGTCTGTAATCCCAGAACTTTGGGAGGCTGAGGTAGGAAGGTAACTTGAGCTCAGGAGTTCAAGACTAGCCCTGGCAATGAAGCGAGACCCTGTCCCTACAAAAAATACAAAAAATTAGCCGAGTGTGGTGCTGTGTGCCTGTAATCCCAGCTACTCTGGAGGCTGAGCTGGGAGGATCGCTTGAGCCTGGGAGGTTGAGGCTGCAGTGACCCATGATGGTGCCATAGCACTCCAGCTTGGGACAAAGAACGAGACCCTGTCTCAATCAATAAAACAGAGTATCTTAAGACTATTAAACATATTTACGAAAGAATGGGAAATGATTTTTCCTGGATGGTAGACAAAGGTGGGGTACAGACATACATAATCTCTAACTACCTTAAAAAGGCCACATGGAATAATGTAAAGAGAACAGGTTTTGGAGTCAGCCTAATTCAAATTCTGGCTGCATGATTTATTTAGCTTTGTGACCTGTGCAAGCTACCTTATCTCTGTAAGTCTCATCTGTAAAAGAAAGTTACTGAGAAGATTACCTATGACTCTGTGTGTGTATAAATAAGGGGCTTGGCACAAGTAGGAGCTGGGTAAATACAGGTCACCCCCCTGTGCAACTTTACCCTTGGAAAATTACCAACTTATGCAACTACTTGATCAGTGGCATACTAATTCAAAAGCATTATGAGTCTTTTTCAAGGGAAGAACGTTTTACATGAAAATATAAAACGCTATAAATACAGACTTTCATACCAATTAGTAACCTCAAATTAATTTTTAAATATATGACTTAAGGACAGCCTTAAGCAAATTACTAGAAATGAATAAATACAAATATTTCCTATTCAAAAAATATTTACTGAGCTTTCACAGTATGCCAGGATTGTTGTAAGTGCTTGGACTACAGACATAAATGAATCAGATAAAGTCCCAGATCTCACAAAATTTATATTCTAGTTATAAAACACAAACTAGCATTTTAGAAAAAGGGAAGGAGTGTGACCCCAGAGCCCTGTCTAATATAAACACAACTTGCAACAAAATGTAGTTTTGCTTTTGCTGGAGATTTTCCAAAAGATTTCTGGGGATTCGTGCATCCCTAGACTAAGAATCCCTGCTAGACTCTTTGTTACAGATTTGCATTTTAAAAGTTGGGAAAATACCACAATATTGCTTGCGGTAAGAAGATGGAACACATTCTTAAAAGTTAGTTTAGTATGGAACACAGACTACAAAACAAATTTAGTAAACAAGAAGTTTCCCCTAAATAGTAACCTTTCTGAATATATATTAAAATTACTTAATTTCTGACTTTACTTTCTGAAAAATATTTATTTAAAAGATTTGTCTTAATTATAAGAAAAATGAATGAATCCCTATTTCTAGTGGTACTACTTATAATCATTTACAACAGAACAATTCTCTCCGATATAAAGCAGACATTTCAGGAGCCTAAAAAAACCCTCCGATTTAACTCTGGCTAGAATTCTTTGTTTAAATATCTAAACAAAAATAATTTTTGTTATTTAAAAAACACTTAATTTTTATAATACCTTCCAACTTTCTCCTCTTCTGTAATTCTACCATACTTTCATCTTTCTGACCCCGCAAGTTAATATCCAGCTCCTGGCGACATCATCCACACTGTTAAGAAGCATTTATAGAGCACCTCTGTGGCTAGCTTTTTGCTACAGTGGGTCAAGTTAAGAGCTGAGAATGTAATCACATGTCTGTATTTTCTTCATTCCTTCTCCTTCTGCGGTATTTTTCAGCACATTTCCTGCTACTTGCAATTATAGTTCAACATTTTTCTAAGTTAGTGATTATTGTGAAAGGCATATAATATTTCCCCATTTAGAATTCTAGGCTGCAAGGTCAGTTTTCATAGTAAACAAGGGAAGTTCCTTTAATCCATATATCTATGTAATGATAGTAAGTTTACAGTTACCATTTGGTCTCTGTAATTATTTCACAACTACCTGACTGCCTGCATCTCTTTAATACGGTAAATGTTTCTAACAGATTAAAATACCACAGATTTTTCTTGAGTCTATCATTCTTATGCTCCAAACATAAGGTGGTTCATTACCCTAAAATGATGTTCAAAAGGCTGGTCTCTTAGCAAATACCTCTGCAACCTAAATTCTTACTTTTCACCACAGCAGTTCTCTGCTTTAGCCAAAAAAGATGTCCTTTCTTTTGAAGACAGCTTATACTTTGTCCATGCCTCTCCAGTCCACTTGAAAGATCATCATCCTCATGTCATTTCTACCATTCAAATCATTCTTCAAATCCTATCTTTTCTCTAAGCTGACTTTCCCCCTACTTAGCTGAACTTTGACAGCAATCACTGTCCAATTCACATGGCAATGGTCACATTCTGGATTTTGTCATTTATTTGTTACTAAGCTATGTGAAATATTTTGATCATTTAAGGTGTGTTTATAACTACAGTGTAAGCTGCACTGAGCACACAAGTGGGGTCATGTCTTATGTTTTCTAGTCTTCTCCCTCTGTGAATCCACTATATGACACACTGTCAGTATTTGATCTGCTGATATTAACAGAACATTTATGTATGAAGGTAATTAAGTACATATATCCCATTTCTATAGCCAAATAACAATCTATTTAAGGTAAGGTTTATATATTGAGCATTTCCTCCTAGTTTCATAGTTCCGTTGCCTATTTACTCCCTGTTTATGTAGCTACTATGTGTAATCATTTTTTCTTTTTAAAAAATTTAGGTTACCCTTGGTATATGTTAAACAGAAAACCTTGTTTGGAGTAAAAACAGACTATTTTCTTGAGGGACCCCAAAATCCAGCAAGGTATATATATATGTTTTTTAAGATTACACATGAGGGTTGTACTTTGAAACATCTGAGGAAATGGGAGTACTTCTACGGCTAATAATGAATCAATAACTGTCTTCTGAGGGCTTATTTCCTCTAATCAAGGTAGTAGATGCCCTGTAGAATCTATAATGTAGCTGAAAAGGAAAGATTCTCTTCTCTCAACCTTCCAAATTACCACCATCCTTTTAGTCATGTCAACATCCTATACTCATTTCTTTGAGGGTTCTCTGATGGATCACATAAAATATTTGTATTTTTAAATTAATTTTCACAGCTTTGGGTCAATTCTTTTTTTTTTTTTTTTTTTTTAAAACGGAGTTTTGCTCTTGTTGCCCAGGCTGGAGTGCAATGGAATGATCGCAGCTCACCACAACCTCCGCCTCCCGGGTTCAAGCAATTCTCCCGCCTCAGACTCCCAAGTAGCTGGGATTACAGGCATGCGCCACCATGCCCGGCTAATTTTGTATGTTCAGTAGAGACGGGGTTTCTCCATGTTGGTCAGGCTGATCTCAAACTCCTGACCTCAGGTGATCCGCCCGCCTCGGCCTCCCAAAGTGCTGGGATTACAGGCGTGAGCCACCATGCCCGGCCTTGGGTACAATTCTTAATACTTTGAGGTACCTGCCACAAAAAAAGACTCAGAATTACTGCACTAGACCAAGATATAAATTATAATTAGCAATATATAGCATCACTTTTATATGACTCACTAAAATTATATTAATTGTTAAATTTTCCTTTTTGCCAGGATACTTTTACTGTTAAGGAAAAGAAACTATATTATATTGCTATGTAATAATGAATCCTAGCAAATAATACAACTGAGATGATATATGATTTCTAGCCACTGGATATGTCTCTCTCAATCTGCCAAGAGGAGCTGGAGACTGGAGCAGGGGCTCTTGCTCCCAATTAGTTTCGTTTCTAAGTTTGGCTCCCTTAAAGCTTTGAAGCATATATATTAAAAATTAAGTAATTTATTTTTAGACATAAAAACTTGAAAACCCAAGAGAAAAATACTTATTTGAACTCACTTGGATTAAAAAAAAAAAAAAGACACTTCTGTCTCATGGTAATAGTACTAAAACAAAATAAAAAAATATAGAGGAGCAGCTGGCAGCTCGCTGACATTTTGAAGGAAAGCAAAATAAAAGGTAAGGGCATAGAGTCTTGCTCTGATGAAGTAGAGCAAGGCACAACAGAAACGGTTATCTCAGCTCAACGCTCATATACCCATAACACAACAATAATATTAGAAAAAAACTATCCTCGGGTATTCCAAGTGGGTATACAGGGGTACTGAAAGGTCTGGTCATAAAATAATAACTCACTCACTATCGCTAACTTCTGGTGATGGCAGCAGCCTGCTGGAGGAGAAATTGAGATATTTAAAAGAGCATTCTTGCCTCAAAATTAAGGTTTAAAGGAGAAGAAGGAAAAGCAGACATATAGAGAATAAAGACAGCGCAAATAAAAAAGGTCATTTGATGCCCAGAAAGTGACAACAAAGCTATCTACAAAACCAAATTTTATCTCTACCTTCAATACATTTTCTTAAACTTTAACTGACACCTTAAAATGAAAAGCAGTAGTAATTTACTACAGACTATAATTTATTATAGACGTCATTAATGTAAATGTACTCATATTTAGTATTTATATTATGAAATTACTTCAAATGCTTATGAAATAAAATAAAACTTACCCCATCACTTTCTCTATGTGGATTCAGTCTACTATAAACAGCTTCAATTACATTGCGCCTAAAAAAAAATCATGCTTTAGTTTTATTAAATTACATAGAATTTTAAGCTTGTGAATATCTCAATATTTCATCCTGACTACACTAAAAAAGTAACTGCTACACTCTATACTTGTCAAGAACATACTTTCTACACTTTACTCTCAGAATCTGATTTTGCACAATCCATTTGTACTCATTAGCAAGGAAAGAAGGACCTTCATACTCAAAGAGTATGATAGATTTTTTAAAAAATCATTTTTGGATGAAGTTTTAAGAGTTCTTCTCTAGCATAAGAAACACTAACCCATTTCACCTCTAGATAATTGATGTACTTCTGATTTAAGTTTCCTTACCCCAAATTATTTAATTACTAATTATAAACGAACTCAAAATTAGCTCTTTTTGTTCTACTTACTTGCCAGCAAGACCTCCCCCAGGAGGCAAATTTGGGATATTTTCTGCAGACAAGATGCGCATGACATGGGCAAGATCAGGCATTCCTTCCTCGCCAGACTTCTCCATAATCTCTGTAGGTTTTTAAAAAAAGTTCCTAAATTAATGTGATAAGCCAGTATTCACCAAGAAGTGAAACAAGAATACTATTTGGTAGTACCTATTTTAAAATATATTAAAAAAAATTATCATCAGCACACAAAAAATTTTTTAAAAGTAATACAAGAAGCTACTTATTGACTGAAACATTGTCATGCAGGGAAAAAAAGGAAAACACAGTTATTTGCACATATATGTTCATTCCAGCATTATTCATAAAAGCAAAAACTGGAACAAACTAAATGTTCAGCAACAAGAGGACAGTTAAAAAAAACTTTGGTGTAGCCATTGAGTGAAATGGTCTATAATCACTAAAAATTACGTAATAGGTGTCTCGATGAATACAGAAACAGCTATACGGAAAAATACTTCTGATCTAATATTAAAAATAATATAAAAGTTATGAATGCCATTACTAAAGGATAACAAAAGTTTAGCTGGATAAGAATTGTAAGAAAAAGGGGAGAAATTAAAAATCATTTTTACAGGTTGTTACTTACCTGAAATAGTTACATTCTACAGCATTTTTTTTATTTTTGAGACAGACTTTCACTCTTGTTGCCCAGGTTGGAGTGCAATGGTGCGATCTTGGCTCACCGCAACCTCCGCCTCCTGGGTTCAAGCGATTCTCCTGCCTCAGTCTCCCAAGTAGCTGGGATTACAGGCCATGTGCCACCACGCCTGGCTAATTTTGTATTTTTAGTAGAGACAGGGTTTCTCCACGTTGGTCAGGCTGGTCTCGAACTCCCAACCTCAAGTGATCCGCCCGCCTCGGCCTCCCAAAGTGCTGGGATTACAGGCGTGAGCCACCGCACCCAGCCCAGGCCTTACTTTTAAAACAAAAAAAGGCAGTGTCTTCAGCAGCCCTTGAGATACAAAATCCAAACTGTTTTACCATGCCTCACAAGACCCTTACATTGACTTTAACATTTCCTACCGAGTAGCTAGGATTACAGGCAGGTCTAAGTTTTCTACCTTAAGTCTGTGTCTTATAGTATAAGGCTTCTCAACATCAACAGCACTGACATTTTACACCAGACAATTTTTTTGTTGTGGAGGCTGTCCTGTGCGCTGTGGAATATCAAGCAGCATCCCTGGCCTCCATTCACTAGATGCCAGTGGCACCCCCTCAGCTATGACACCAAAAATGTCTCCAGGCATTTTCACACTCCTCTACTCTAGTCCAATTTACCACTACCATGTATTAACGCTTAATTTCTAATTGGTATTTTGCCTTCTCTTGTCCCCTTTATACAATCTCTTCTCCATACAGCAACTAAGAGAGATCATTTGGAAAAAAAGAACAAATCACTCTTGTACTCAAAATCTTCCAATGAATTCCCACCACAAGTCAAATAAATTCCAAAGTCCTCACTTTGGTCTACAGAACCCTACATGATATGCCTCCTACAAACCTCTTAATCTTCCTCTAGTTTTCTACTGGCTCATTCTAACCCAGCTACACTCACTAAGAACATTCCCTCCTAGTCTTTGCTTTTCTCATTGCCTGGAATGTTCTTCCCTCAGATATTCTCTCTCCATGCAGGTCTCTGCTCAAATGTCCTTCCTCACAGAGACATTCCTAACCAATATTCCTTGCTGCTTTCTGCTTACTCTATTTCTCTATTAAAAAAAGAGGTTTTTACTAGAATACAAATTCCATGAGATTTCTTTTTCTGCTATATCCTCAGTGACACGTGTTCAATAAACACTGAGTAAATCTATATGTAGAAAGCAATCATTAAATATACAATTCATCAATTTAGGTGAACTATTTCCTGTTTATTTTAGTATTATTCCTTTCCTACCTGACCAGTCATCACTAAAAGCATATACACAGATTTACCAAGTTACCACAAAATTTAAAGTCATATTACATGATTTAAAACCTCAGAAGAAACACAATGCTCCTGAAGAACACTGCTTTATAAATAAAAAGTTACTTTTTTTTTTTTTTTTAAAGACATGTTCTTCCTCTGTGGCCCAGGCTGGAGTGCAGTGGTGCCATCACAGCTCACTGTAACACCAAACTCCTAGAACTCAAGCAATCCTCCTGTTTCAGTCTTCCAGCAGCTGGAACTACAGGTGTACACCAACATGCCCAGCTATTTTTTAAAACATTTTTGTAGGTCTATGATGACCAGGCTGGTCTTGAACTCCTAGTCTCAAGCAATCCTTCTGTCTCGGCATCCCAAGGATTATAGGTGTAGCTACTGTGAAGTTACATTTTAAGTACCAACTTAATTTGTAGTGGCTGCCGAGCTAACAATTTTGTTTCCTGATTAATAATAACTATTTGCTACAGGCCCTAGAGATCATATAACATATTTGTTATCTCTCCTATATAATATATACTTTGGAAAGTTACAAACTATGCAAAAGAAAATTAATATTATTAACTCATGTTAAACTGAATTGACCACACCTTTAAGAAATTAAAATGTGGCTATTACAGAAGTTAAGAGTTCATACAAGTTACAGTTTGCTGAGCACTTACATGCTAGGCACCATAATAGGTGCTTAATAAACAAAATTCTCATTTATTTTGACAAAAACTCTTTCCTTGGACCAAACCTTCAGCAAGACTCTTGAGTTCTTTCTGACTAAGAGACCTTTGGGCTCCCTCTCTGTGCTTGTAGAAACCAGGCTGACTGAGAATCCTGCTCAGTCAGTTTACTGAAAACCCCCACATACTTGGTATATGACCACTCTGGATATTTCAGCCTGGCCTGCCATCCTATCAAGTCAGTTTAGCCAGAAACCCCTTCCTTATGTTGATGCTTTCTCTTAGTAATAATTTCTCACCCACTGACACTCCCTTCCAGCACTCAGCTCCTTTGTTATAAATTCCACTTATCTTTATGGAACCCCAAGTTGAGTTTAATTGCTTTCTGTCACTGCAAGATTCTATCATAGTGGTCCCTATATCTACTGCCATGGCCCCCCTGAAAAAAATATCTGCCTTACCATCTTTAACAATTGTCATCAATAAGCTTTTTCTGCAACAATCTATTAAAAAAAAACTCTATGGCGCCAGGTGTGGTGGCTCAAGCCTGTAATCCCAGCACTTTGGGTGGCCAAGGTGGGTGGATCACAAGGTCAGGAAATCGAGACCATCCTGGCTAACACGGTGAAACCCCGTCTCTACTAAAAATACAAAAAGAAATTAGCCGGGTGTGGTGGCGGGCACCTGTAGTCCCAGCTACTTAGGAGGCTGAGGCAGGAGAATGGTGTGAACTCGGGAGGTGAAGCTTACAGTGAGCCGAGATCTGGCCACTGCACTCCAGCCTGGGGGACACAGCGAGACTATGTATCAAAAACAAAAACAAAAAACAAAAAGAACCCTCTATGGTTGGTGTTTTTATCTTTAGTTTCCAATAACGTAACTGGAGCCTTGAGGGGTTAAGCAAGTTGGATAAGATCACATAACAGGCAGCTGACCAAACTTGAGAGTTCTTCCTAAAATAAAAACTACCCGGTTTCTTTATGAATGAGGAAGAAGGAAACTAAGAGAATTCCTCCCATCTTCTGATAAACTATAGTCAGCAATCTACAACCCCAATGTACTACAATTTATCATTAAACATTAACTCCTATAAAAATAGCTCCTCTTAATAATATTATGAACAGGAATATGACCGTATCTGACATAATCTTCAATGTGTTCTTACATGTTTCTCACGTTTCCATCACCCTCAAAGCAGGACTCACTGAGACTCAAAAGCACTGAGACCTAAAAACAAGATTCATTTAGGGCTGAGGAAATTGTAGGCCCACAAAAAACTTTAAGCACATTGTTTAGGGTGCATAGCTAGATAGTTGTAGAGACAGAAAAGCTAAATCCCCATTCTCCAAATCTGCAAAAGACTCTCCTTGGTTTTATACTTTTAATTGTAATTATATATTAGAAATCACAGATCTTCACAGTTCAAAACTCTCACCAATTACTGTGGCCTATTATATACAAAATGACTCACAACAGGCCAAATTCAACAAGCCCATTACACCATCATCGTAAGTTATATCATTCAAATGTATTTTCTCCCCAAAAAGAAAAAAAAAAATCAAAACATAAAAGTGTTAGGAGAAAATACAGGTAACTACATAACCTTGAGTGGAAGAGCTTGGTATGATATCAAAGTTCTCCCGCAAAGAAAAGAAAAAAGACTGACAATCTAACTTTATAAAAAGTAATTTCATATCTTAAAAACAGCATATATAAAATCAAAAGGTTATATTAAGATTATGATACTTAGCTTCTCAGAGTTGAAAGCAAAAAAGAAAAGGGCCTTAAGACTGAAAAATACATTCTCAATTTATCAGGGTAACCACTAAATTTTTTTTTTAACTAAATGGAATTTTTTTTTTTTTTTTTTTTTTTTTTTTTGAGACAGTCTTTGCTCTGTCGCCCAGCCTGGAGTGTGCAGTGGCACAATCTCGGCTCACTGCAAGCCCCACCTCCCAGGTTCATGCCATTCTCCTGCCTCAGCCTCCCAAGTAGCTGGGACTACAGGCACCCGCCACCACACCCGGCTAATTTCTTTTTGTATTTTTAGTAGAGACGGGGTTTCACTGTGTTAGCCAGGACGGTCTCGATCTCCTGACCTCGTGATCTGCCCTCCTTGGCCTCCCAAAGTGCTGGGATTACAGGCGTGAACCACTGTGCCCAGCCTACTAAATGGAATTTTTTAAAGAATGTGTAACTAATAAGCAAATCCTAGGATGAACTGGAATACATCTAAAAGAAGGCAAGAATGGAGGATTAAAAAAAAAAAAATAGATGAAACAAGAAAGACAGCAGATTTAAACTCAAACATACCAGCAATTACATTAAAGATAAACAGACTTGCTTCTCCCTTCTCTCGTTCCTGAATAATTTTGTCCAACACCATTAGATTTGCTTAGTTAAGCAAAACAAATCTTTCAGGGAGTGGAGGGGGAAATAGTGGCCACAAATTGGTCCAGAATGGGATATTCATGGCTAACCACAGTAAGCATAGCTTTAGGATGGCTACAGGGATGGGCAATGTGGAGTGAGGAAGGCATACGCATGAAGGTTAGCCGTGATAGAAGAGAGTTATAAATATGAAAAGGGAGAAAACTACAATAAACCTTGTAATACTGTACAGTTGCGGGCAGGACAAAAAGATGCTGCAACAAGTTTTAAGAGGCTCTCATTGGCTGAAACAGTTTATAATACAATGAATAGAACAGGAATTTGTGAGTCTATGCTCATATAAATAAACAGGTAGAAAAGAAAATTTTTCCTTGCAGTAAAATGCTAACACATATAAAAAGAATGACTGAGCCAGGCACGGCGGTTCATGCCTGTAATGCCAGCACTTTCGGAGGCCAAGGTGGGCGGATCACCTGGACGGATCACCTGAGGTCGGGAAGTTTGAGATCAGCCTGACCAGCATGGAGAAATCCCATCTCTATTAAAAATACAAAACTGGCCAGGCATCGTGGCACGTGCCTGTAATCCCAGCTACTCAGGACGGTGAGGCAGGAGAGTCACTTGAACCTGGGAGGCGGAGGTTGCGGTGAGCTGAGATCACGCCATTGCACTCCACAGCCTGGGCAACAACAGCGAAACTCCATCTCAAAAAAAAAAAAAAAGAATGACTAAATCAGAAAATCACCAGTTGGCTATCATTCTTCAGGCAAAAATCACAAATGGATGCTAAAACTATCTGCTGAAATCTTAATGAGAATAGGTTATTAACAATCTCAAAGTGTATCCCCATAGAATACTTATGAGTAAATATAACATATTTATTAAATACTTATTAGGTATAACATAATTATTAATTAAGTAACCTGAAACACAACAACCCAAGAAAGTCACAAAAGATGTTAACATTATAAATCAACAACGCATGCCTCCCTGATTGTGATGCACTGAGAACAATCTACAATCACTTCCACGGTATTCCTGCCAATGTATAACCTAAATCTTATCAAGAGGAAACATCAGCCAACCCAAGCTGCACATTCCACAAACCTGTCATCTTAAAAAATGTAAAGGTCCATAGAAATAAAAAAAAGACTACAGAACTTTTTCCATTGAAGGAGAGACTAAAGAGGCATGATAGCTAAATGCAACACACATGCTCTAGACTGCACCTGGACCTACATATGACATTACTGGGATAATCAGGGAAATTTAAATGAGATCTGTGGATTACATATTAATATTGTATCAACATTAATTCCTTAATTTTTCCCCTCCCGAGACAGAGTCTCGCTCTGTCATCCAGGTTAGAGTGCAGTGGCATGATCTCGGCTCACTGCAACCTCCGCTTTCCAGGTTCAAGCAGTTCTCCCACCTCAGCCTCCCGAGTAGCTGGGATTACAGGCACCCGTTACTAGGCCTGACTAATTTTTGTATTTTTAGTACAGATGGGATTTCACCATGTTGGCCAGGCTGGTCTCGAACTCCTGACCTCCTGATCCGCCCACCTTGGCCTCCCAAAGTGCTGGGATTACAGGTGTGAGCCACCGTGCCGGGCCAATTTCCTAATTTTTATGGATGTACTACAGTTATGTAGTGTTATGTAATCTTCGTTTTATTAAGGAGTACTGATATATCACATTTGCAACTTTCAATTGATTTGGCTCAGGAAAAAGCCAAAATCAATCATGGGGGGGGCAGGGGAGTAAGAGGAGAGAGAGGGGGAGAGGAAAGGAAGGAGGGAGAGAGAAAATGAGAATGTTACAGAAAGTATATATAGAGATGCGCCAAACGTGGTATTACATAAACAAATGAGGAATCTAGGTAAAGAATACTACATGTACATGGGAGCTCCTGTAATACTTTTGCAACTTTTCTGTATGTTTAAAATTATTAGGCTGGGTGTGGTGGCTCCCACGCCTGTAATCCCAGCAGTTTGGTAGGCCGATGTGGGAGGATCGCTTGAGTCCAGGAATTTGAGACCACCCTGGGAAACACAGTGAGCCTCATCTCTATAAAAAATAAAGAAAACTAGCCAGCTGTGGTGGCACATGCCTGTAGTTCCAGCTACTTGGGAGAGGCTGAGGTGAGAGGATCACTTGAGCCCAGGGAGTTGAGGCTGCAGTGAGCCGAGATCACGCCACTGTACTTCAGCCTAAGCAACAAAAAGAGCAAGACCCTGTCTCAAAAAAATAAAAAAATTATTGCCAAATGAAGTTTAGAAAAATATGTAAAATAATCTTTTGAAACACTAATCTTAACTCTTTCAATAAAAGGGAAAGGATACCGTAATGAATTCCAATGATAATTAAACCAGGAAGGGAGAATTAGTATTAGTGGAATTAGAGTACTTGGTTTTCATGATATTGTTAAGGGAAATTTCAATGGATTCTCCACTTACTAGTAGAAATGTATGCAGGGAAAGAAGGAAAAAAAAAAAAACCCAGCAACCTCTAACCAACTACCTTCAAATTATGTTTCTCTTTGGTGGTGAAACAGACATATTTGTCTTCTCCCTGTCAATAAATCTCCACACATTGGTCCAAGATAGTAAATTTTAGACAGATGTGTTTTTTCAAGGACTTGTTTTGAAATACTTCTTTGTCCTATGTAATTTTTTTGGGGGGGAGACGGAGTCTCGCTCTGTCGCCCAGGCTGGAGTGCAGTGGTATGATCTCAGCTCACTGCAATCTCTACCTCCCAGATTCAAGCAATTCTCCTGCCTGAGCCTCCTGAGTAGCTGGGACTACAGGTGCGTGCCACCATTTCCGGCTAATTTTTTGTATTTTAGTAGAGACAGGGTTTCACCATGTTAGCCAGGATGGTATCGATCTAACCTTGTGATCTGCCCGCCTCAGCCCTCAGCCTCCCAAAGTGCTGGGATTACAGGTGTGAGCCACCGCGCCTGGCCAGGAAATTTTAAAATAATCATTTGATAAACAAAAATAATACTTTCCCTCTCTAAATTTTTTTTTTTTTTCTTGAGATAGAGTCTTGCTGTGTTACCCAGGTGACAAAAGTGCTAGGATTACAGGCATGAGCTACCATGCCTGGCCTGTCTGTATTTTTAAAAAGCATCTGTCTTACCTTCAACCCGTGATTCCAAGTGCTTATCCAACTCTGAATCTTTTTTCACCGCTTCATCTGAGACCTTGGGAGCATTTGAAAAGCAAACTAGTACAATACTCATGTTATCTCGACTTCCCTGTATATTAAAGAAAAAAAAAGAAAAAAATTGTATTTCTACAGTCTATCAACTATCATTTACTTCAAAATACTTTAAGCAATTATAGTTTATTTAATCATCCAGAACGTTTATGTTCAACACATTTTTATTCCAATGAACTACTGAAAACACAACTTGAAGAAACAAGGTGTCTATATATGGGTAGATCTGTAAGTATTTTTGTATTTTTAATTCTGGTGAACTATTCTTCCCATCACCATTCCAGTCTGAGAAATGAAGATATCTTCAATACAAATTAAATCTTCTAAACTATTTCCCACTCAAAACTGTCTATTCCCAAACTGGCTTAAGTCCACAATGGATCCTCCCAAACACATATGCAAATATTTTCCAGCTTAGCTTTTAAACTGCATCAGAGCAATGCTACGACTCTGTGAATTTAACATAGCTGAAATTTGTTATCCAGTGGAATACCCAAAATGCTAAACTGAACAATTATTATTATTTTTTGAGACAAAGTTTCACTCTTGTTGCCCAGGCTGGAGCCCAATGGCACGATCTCGGCTCACTGCAACCTCTGCCTCCCGGGTTCAAGCGATTCTCCTGCCTCAGCCTCCTGAGTAGCTGGGATTACAGGCAACCGCCACCATGCCCGGCTAATTTTTTTATATTTAGTAGAGATGGGGTTTCACCATGTTGACCAGGCTGGTCTTGAACTTCTGACCTCAGGTGATCCACCCACCTCAGCCTCTCAAAGTGCTGGGATTCATAGGCGTGAGTCACCAAGCCCAGCCCCACAACTATTAATACAAGAAACAATTCAAAGGGCACAGCAACAGTGGACTGTAACTGGACAACTGAGATCCAACTGTAGTCATATAATAACTTTGAAAGAAAAGACATCAGATTGTTGTATAGTCGCAAATAGTTTCAGAGTCTTTACAAAGTGGCTAAAATAGCTAATTTAAGGACATATTTTATTTCCCCCTTTTAACCACACCCTCACAAATTACCTGCGTTAAAAAGGAAGCACAGGCCGGGCGGGGTGGCTCACGTCTGTAATCCCAGCAATTTGGGAGGCTGAGGCGGGTGGATCACAAGGTCAGGGATTCAAGACCAGCCTGATTAACATGGTGAAACCCTGTCTCTACTAAAAATACAAAAATTATCCAGGCGTGGTGGCACGCGCCTGTAATCCCAGCTATTTAGGAGGCTGAGGCAGGAGAATCACTTGAACCCGGGAGGTGGAGGTTGCAATGAGCTGAGATTGTGCCCCTGTACTCCAGCCTGGGGGACAGAGTGAGTCTCCGTCTAAAAAAAAAAAAAAAAGCAAAAAGCGAAAAACCAGGCACTGTGGCTCATGGCTGTAATCTCAGCACTTTGGAAGGCCTCGGGGAGCAGACCATTTGAACCCAAGAGTTCCAGACTAGCCTGGGCATAATGGCAAAACCTTATCTCTACAGAAAATACAAAAATTGAGCTTGGTGGCGCACACCTGTAGTCCCAGGTCCCAGCTACTCAGGAGGCTGAGGTGGAAGGATCACTTAAGCCTGGGAGGTGGAGACTGCAGTGAGCCGTGATGACGCCACTACACTTTAGCCTGGGCAACAGAGCAAGACTCTGTCTCAAAAAATAAAAAAAAGCAAGCAAGCACATACTACTCTAGTACCATGAGATTGTGTGCAATAAATTAAAACTATCTTCTCATTACTTTTTCTAAAGGTATATTACTTTAACTGAGTTTCTAAGAGCAGGAACAGATGAAACTCTTCTTAGAACAATGAATTTTTTTTTTAAACTTTTTCTGTTCACTCTAAAAAACTAAGTCAATGGAGGTGGTAGGCTATTTTGTCTGACAGTGGAGTTTGCCAAATTTGCCAACTCAAGTGAAAGAAACCAAGACCACACCCATTCTAGTCTTTTCAGTTATTATGGTCAGAATCTAGGCAGGCATGGCTTGGTTCAGACTTGCGCCTTTCAGAACCTACATGACACAGCCCAAAAGACAGGTGGCCTTGAATAACTTCTGCCTTCACCTCCTAATTCAATGGGAGTAGAGTCTGAAGGCAGTGAAGGTTGGGTCTTCAGAAGACTTCAAAATAAATTAACTTGCCACAGATTGTTGTGCTTTGGAAGAAGGAACCAACATGAGTATATTTCATTAGATTACCGGTTATCTGGAAAACCAAGAATTTCCAAATTGGCTAACAAATTAATCTCATTCCTTAATGAAACCCACCAAAACTTTTATATTAGAAATACTGTATGTATTTGGTTATATGAATATACTTGTATAAATGTCATAAGGGCAGGTCAAGCAAAAATTTTTAATTAAAAATCATTTTAAAGTACGCCATGGATATTCAAGAATCAAACGGCTGGACATGGTGGCTGCCTGTAATCCCAGCAGTTTGGGAGGCAGAGGCAGGAGGATCATTTGAAGCCAGGAGTTTGAGACTAGCCCGGGCAACATAGTGAGACACCCATTTCTAAAACAAAACAGCAACAAAAAAGAATCAAGCATAATTACATTTTATAAAGCAATTTTATGAATAAACAGAATTAATGCCTTGCACTTTTAGAAATCTAATTTCTTTAACCCTTTTTAGTTTTGGTAACAACAACGTGAGCATTCTTGAACATTTCCTTATCTAATTTCCATTAGATTTTTGTAAGTTATAAAATACAGATACTTCTGGAAAATTAATTGAAAGAGAGTTCCAATAAGTTTATGGCTCTCCAAATATATTTAAGGGAAATAATTTATATTTACACCTCAGGCATGTGTGATTTCAATGATGTTGCTTCTTAGCCACCTTGCCTGGCTTACTTCTATTTCTATGGTAAAGATGGCTTTCCCCTAAACACCAAGTATGAATATGTTTCAGTAGCTGTTATACAGCAACAGAAAAGGTCCTTTCCTTTGTGCCACTCTGTTTTTTAGAGACAAATCATCCTTGTATAACCAGTATAAAGTTTTCACTAAGTTCATAAATAAAACATGGTTTTTTTTTTTTCTAAATCCAGTTTGGATAACTAAAGAAATTAGCTCTGCATATAAAAATTGATTATTTCATTACATGTTCTTTTTACTTTTTACAACAGCACAGCGGTTAACACGCTCAATAATTACAGTACTAGATCAAAGAAGTCAGTGCCCCTGCCATAAGTAAGGGCACCTAAACTTAAACAGAAAACAATCTGATATAGTTTTTTGTTTGTTTTTGTTTTTTGAGACAGAGTCTCACTCTGTCGCCCAGGCTGGAGTGCAATGGCATGATCTCAGTTCAAGCAATTCTCCTGAGTTTAGAACTAAACCATTATTGAGGGGATTACATTTTCTGTTATATAAATTATTACAGAATGATATTGCCTTTGGAAAATAATAATTCCCTCAATTTTATCCAACTATGAGGTACTATCTCATGTTTTAAAATAAATAGGCTTCTGGTAGATGGTATATAAATGAAATTTTGGAAAATCAAATAATATTTTAAAAGAACAATTTAAAAGAATACTGACTTCTATGATTTAAGAAAAACAAAGCAGATGACAAAGTAACAAGCATAGCATGATTTTTTTCAGTAAAATAGAAAAAAAGAAAATCCTATTTTATGTTTATACATTTCTATCAATAATCACAGAGAACCATTTGGAAAGATATACAGCAAACCATAAGCAGTGGTTCCCTAAGGGGGATGAGACTGGAAAGCAGAAACATCAAGGGGAATCACTTTACTTCAAACATCTTTGTATTTGTTACAAAAAAAATATTTAGTCTCAATGTTTCCCTTGGGGAAAAATTTTTCAGACCATGAAAACCGAGACAGATACACACACACAGACATACACATACACACATATACACACACACACACACACACACACTTCTTTATCAGACCCTTCTAGGAAATATTGCTAACAAAAATACTAAACTTGAGTCAGAAAACTAGTGTCAGCCTCAATACTCATCAAGTATATGACTTATGGATATCTTTTAATATCAAACAACCTCCATTTCCTTACTTGCAAATTGAAAAATAAAAACTTTTATTTTGTTCACCTCAGAAAGTTACTATGAGGATTAATAAGTACATATAATTTACAAGTTATGAAAAGCTATGCAAGTAGCAGTTACATATTCTATATAACCCGAAATCAGTTGGCAGTAAACACCATAAATGCCAGCATTGGAAATGAGGGCTGCTTTCTTAGCTACCATTCTCCCCTCGAGTTAAATACCTAATTTAAATAGGATAATACCTGACCAAGCCAACACTTACAGCTTAATATTAATTGGCAACCCTGAAAAATGCTTATCTTTTTTTTTTTTTTTTTTTTTTTGAGATGGAGTGATCCCTCTGTCGCCAGGCTGGAGTGCAGTGGTGCGATCTCGGCTCACTACAGCTCCACCCTCCCGGGTTCACGCGCCATTCTCTGCTCAGCCTCCCAAGTAGCTGGACTACAGGGCGGCCCACCACACCACCGGAACAATTTTTTTCCTTTTTTTTTTTTTTTTTGAGCCGAGTCTCGCTCTGTCACCCAGGCTGGAGTGCAGTGGCGCATCTCAGCTCACTGCAAGCTCCGCTCTGGGTTTACCCATTCTCCCTGCCTCAGCCTCCCGAGTAGCTGGGACTACAGGCGCCGCCACCTCGCCCGACCAGTTTTTTGGGTATTTTTTTAGTAGAGACGGGGTTTCACCGTGTTAGCCAGGATGGTCTCGATCTTCTGACTTCGTGATCCGCCCGTCTCGGCCTCCCAAAGTGCTGGGATTACAGGCTTGAGCCACCGCGCCCGGCCCCGGACAATTTTTTCTATTTTTTAGTAGAGACAGGATTTCACCGTGTTAACCAGGATGGCCTCTATCTCCTGACCTCACGATCCTGACTACCTCATATGGTTGTGAAAATTACATGAGTTAAAATGTGTAAAATATTTAGAACAGCGTTTGGCTTACAGAAAGCAACAATTTACTAATACTATCATGATGATGATTACGATAACCTCCCACGATTTAATGAGTTAAGATGAAAGTACTTATAAATTATGAAGGTATGACAAGTGATGGAAATGTTAGAAAGAACTAAGACTTCATTTAAATCTCTTATCAGGGAAACATCTACTTATTAATGTTTCCACTCCTCTTAAAGCAGGTAACTACTGAGCAATCGCTAAGTGCTTTCCATGAATTTTTAACTTACAATTTTTCTGAATAAATTCAAAGTAATTATATTTGACCTCATTGCTAACCTTTGCTTTTACAATACAAATAAATGGAAAGACAAAATTATGAAGTTAAACAGAAATGAAGGTTGTCATAAGTAACTTTCAATAGTTCAAAAACAATTTTAAGTCTGTTTTGTTTCAACTCAAACCTCCAAACTGATTTCAATTTGAATGCAGCTCCATTAGAAGGAACTATGATGGTCAGCTTCCATTAACACTGAATGAATCATGGGCCCCAACCTCTTGTCTGTTATTATCATTCCTCACTTCTGAGATTCTAGGATGCCATCTAGAATCTTTTAACACCATCAACATGAACATTTAATCACTCTAAATTGATAAAAGCTATCAAGTGAAGATATACCACCAGAAATATTTAAACCTCATTCAAAAGGGTTGAGTCAAAATTCTCAAAAACTAGCATCCTTTCAATGGATAAGAGTTAATCTACTAATACAAACTTCTTTCCTTAGTCCAAATTACAGACCTAATAGATTTTTTGGCTATTCCCTCACAACCACATTCTTTCAATAAAATACTATGCAGTCAAGAAAAATTATACAGATCAATACTTATAGGCATGGAGATCTCTCTACAATATATTGTTGGAAAAGGCAGGCTGTAGAATAACAAGTATAATCACCTCGGTTTTATAAAAATACACACACTCACAGGCAGGCAGAAAAGACTGGAAAGATATACACCGCAGCAATCAAAGTAGCTGACTTAGGTGGATGGCAAAATTTTGAGTGTTTGTTTATATTTTTTGTATCATCTGGATTTTTTTCCCAATAATAAGTATAGACTTTTTATATATATATATAATTGGGGAAAACGCTGTTTTCATCAGTTAGTCAGGCAACAAACATACGCCTATGCTTGTCTCAAAAATCTACAGGTCAGAATCGCTTCATTTAGATTTCAAAGACAAATATATTAATTTTAGACCCACTTACTATTTGATCACCAACAACCATCGATACTTCTTTACTTAACTCATCCAGAAGAAAAAAGATACAGTGTGTTAAAAATAAAAATCAGAGGAGCTAGAGGTACCATCATTAAAATTCTTTCAGAAAAAGGCTGTCCACTGACAAGAACAGCTTTTAAATTTTTTGTTTTTGAAACTGTCTCTTTCCATTCTATTAAAAATAAATCGGTATCTAACCAAAATCTGGGCATTTCCAGAGACCCAGAGATCCTTTCTGAAAAACTGTCTGGTTATGCCCATACCTTCCACAGTAAATTTTGGAGTAGGGAGATAGAATGGTTCTAATCTAGACAGAATAAATAAGTCAAATCCTTTATTTGTTTCATATAACTAAAGGTCAGTTTTATCTTGATATCTTTTGTTAGAGAATACTTACTCCAGACACTCTGGCCAGATAACTCAAATTTTAATTGAATTATATATAGATGCTGTCAAAAACCCACTTGAAACAACTGAGTATTTTAAAGACATTCAAAGGACTGCCAATTATCTATTACTCTGGACTTTTTTTCTATTACTGTATCAAGCAAATGATTCATAGAAAATTACAAATCTAAATAAACTTCAGTGTTCCACAGGAATTTTTCACAAGATTACATTTTATATGAGCCTTTGGTTTTTAATCAGAAATAATACAAACATCTATATGAAAAGAATTTTGTCTTCTACAAAAGATAGTATCCATCAAGTCATGTATTACTTAGAGAGTCACATGTAAATCCTTTTTAGATTGTACTGCCAGGTAAGAGCTGCTTTTAGAAGACAATGAGAAATATACGACCCATATTTTAATTTCAGTTTTTGTCTTCACCGCTAGAAGACTCAGAACTAAATTTTATATAGGCTAGGCATCTAGTACATCTGCCAATATTTTACATGGCTCTTGATCTTTTAGTAATATCTAGTACAGAATTCTACTATATATACATATTTTATCAAGCTGCTTCATAATCAAGCGTAAGATGGTTACTGCCAATGTCAAGAAACAGTCACAATTCTGTGTAAATGCTTCTGCTACAGCAACAAGCCATAAAGTACTTAAATGACAACAAATGCCTCAAATTTATCAAGCTTAATTTTCAAATTAGAAGGCTGGGACAGACAGGGATGGCAAAGAAAACAATGGTTTCATTTCTGGTAAAGACAGTATTTCAAAACATACAGCTTCTATGAAAATATTAAGTTTTAAAATTTTAAGTTTGCTTAACTTTACCTACCGTACCTTTTCAAAATTAACGTTATTTTAATGACAAAAAAATTTACATACCTTATGTAAACAAGTGTCCACTACCCAATTGCACACATTTTCCAGGTCATCAGATACCTCAAGCCTAGATTTAACAAATTCACAGAGTTCCTCATTACTCATAACATCCCAGATCCCATCACAAGCCAAGATGATAAATTCATCCTCTTCTGCTCTTAAAATTTCATAAACCTCAGGCTCTGGAGAAACAAGTTGTTCTGTCGGGCCCTTGCCATCAACACACTTGTAATCATAGTCCCCCAGAGCACGAGACACTGCTAATGAACCATTAACACGCTGTATCATCACGCTGCCTCCTGCATTTTGGATTCGCTCCTTTTCCCTTGGATTGCAAGGTTTGTGATCCTGGGTAGAAAAGCAGACTTGTCCATTCCTATACAGAACAGCACGTGAATCACCACAGTTGATAAAGTAGATATGCTTAGGTGAAATCATAACTCCCACTGCAGTTGAACCACTCCTGTCCATCCCATTTCTGAGGTCTGAAAAGTTACGCATGTATTCATCAATTTTCAAAAATCCAGTTCTGATACCATTCTTAACATTTTCCACTGAAAGCTCAAGAGCAGATCCTGATTTTCCAGCTGCCCTAAAGTCTTCGTTAGTAGTGATGTGTTCTAATAAATGTGTTGAGCAGTAATTTGCCACTCGGGATCCAGCATGACCATCATAAACTGCAAAAAATGACCAGTCTTCCAAGCCGTGAGGAATACCTACAACAGCTGTGTGTGCATCTTCCATTTCCACTCTCCATCCTTGCATGCTGCTCAGGCCATAACGTAAACCATTCCCAGCACCATGAGCATTATGTTTTTCAGTTTTGGGTTTATCCAAAAATGCACCCATGTTTAGCAATAAATCTGGAAAAAAAATGCAGGTGTTAAATGTTTAAATTTGACAAAAAGTGTATCTACAATATTCCCTCTATAGTCTAGTAACTCCTATCTCGATTTTTTTTAGTATTATTCTAATTTACAGGAACAACAGCAAAAGCCCAACAAATTCCTCCCCTACATCCTACAGAACAGTGGTTTCTCAGCCCTAGCACATAAGACTAATCAGACTAATTAAATCAGAAACCCTAGGGACGGGACACAGGTATCATCTTTTAAAAGCCTCTCTGGTGACTTGTATGTGCAGCCACGTTGAGACCGCTGTTCTAGGAGAAAGGAAAAACAAGAAATAAAACTTTTTAATAATTTTCTTCTGATTTAATTTACAAGGTGAGTCCAGGGTTCGACATGTAAGTTTATACAACACTGGACAATGAGAATATTCAAAACAGTGAGTCATCTTGTTCAATAAATCAAGGTAAAAAGATATGCTAATATATTTTAGAAGACGTTCAAAAGTATTGAAATCAAGATTTCTCCTCCCAGTGAATCTGAAGACAACCTCAAAATTCAATTAAAACATAAAAATCTCCATTCTACACACATTTGGTTTTACCACTTTTACTATGTATCTACAAAACTGAAAACTGTATCATTACTTGGATTCTGTTAAAAACATACCTTTAACATGGTGCTAAAAAATGACTTCACATTGCTGAACTTATAATCCATTAAGTAGCTACCCAGTGTTGACTGACAAAGACTTAAAATCTTCAGAACTGGAAAGTACTACTATGCATCACCCTCTCCCCACCTACCCAACTTTACTATTTTATTGAATAAAGCTTTCTCAATTTCAAATGACTTAGACTAGAGTAATGGTTCCCAAAAGTATGCAAAAAAATTATCTGGTATGTTTTCTACATACAATGCTGACCCTATACTCTAACTAGGTGACCTTGGGCAAATTTCTTAGTCACCTGTACCTATACCTCATAGGGATGCTGTGAAGAATGAGTCAATGTAAAGTGCTTAAAACAGCACTTAAAACACAATAAACACCATAAAATATTTGCTCTTATGGCTGCTCAAAATGCAGACTCCATAGCCCTATTCCCACACCTAAGGATTATTTTCAATAGATCTTAGATGGAATCATCAAAAAAGCATGCTGGTGATTTAAGGTTTTGAGAGACACTGGTCTACATCAATTTACCTCCATCCAGGTCTAGGTATCTTTGTGAGATTTTTTCCAGGTATGATCATTACTGAATTTTAAAATAAAATTACATATCCCCATTTTTAAAAATCTGATGAACCACTCAATGTATATATGTAAATATTTATAAGTTATATATCAGTTTTATAATTTTCCTGGGTTATATATAATACTGTATTAATAAATTACAAATGTATTTATTGAAAAGGAGTCCTGAAGTGATAAGATTAAAATCATGTAAAAATTATTTTTCATTCTATCAGCAGAATGTCGCATTTTGTACTGAGAGCAATGTAACAGAATATGCTTGATTACTTTTGAACGTGCTGGTTTAATTCTCTGTGATACAAAAATTTTAAAGCCTAGTTCTAAGTACATTTTTATATGCTTGCTTGTATAGGCTATTTCATCTGAAAAGACAACTTTAAAAGATACTTAAATGAAAATGAAACAGAATTGTTGGCTGTATTTATTAAGTCACTTTTCTTTCTTTTTTTCTTTTTTTCTTGGTGGGGGTGGAGTCTCGCTCTGCCGAGTGATGTCATCTCACTGCAACCTCTGCCTCTCAGGTTCACAAGCGATTCTCCTGCTTCAGCCACCCAAGTGGCTGGGACTACAGGCAAACGCCACCATACCTGGCTTTTTTTTTTTTTTTTTTTTTGAGATCTACAGATCTACAGGCACATGCCACCAAACCCAGCTCTTTTTTTTTTTTTTTTTTTTTCTTTTTTGAGATGGAATCTCGCTCTATCACCCAGGCTGGAGTGCAGTGGTGAGATCTTGGCTCCCTGCGACCTCCACCTCCCAGGTTCCAGTGATTCTCCTGCCTCAGCCTCCCAAGTAGCTGGGACTACAGGCATCCGCTGCCACGCCCAGCTGATTTTTGTATTTTCAGTAGAGATGGGGTTTCACCATATTGGCCAGGCTGGTCTCAAACTCCTGACCTTGTGATCCACCTGCCTCAGTGCCAGGATTACAGGCGTGAGCCACCGCGCCTGGCCAAATTCATTTTTGTATTTTTTAATAGAGAAGGAGTTTCACCATGTTGCCCAGGCTGGTCCCAAACCCCTGACCCCCAGTGATCTGCCTGCCTCAGCCTCCCAAAGTGCTGGGATTACAGGCGTGAGCCATTGTGCCCAGCCTTAAATCACTTTTCAATCCCATCTATCAATTATGGAAAAAAGTTTTGTTGCAGTTTTCATCTTTCCTGATGCTTCTGCAATTAATGTACTGCTCTTTTTTACACTTTAACAAGCAGGTTCAAAATCCACAAGAACTCTTCATTCAGAAGTTTTTTTAAAAGTTTAGAAATTTCAATTTCCAAATTTGTTTTTCATCTGGGGAGGGATAGCATTAGGAGAAATACCTAATGTAGGTGACGGGTTGATGGATGCAGCAAACCACCATGGCATGTGTATACCTATGTAACAAAACTGCACATTCTGTACATGTACCCTAGAACTTTTAAAAAATTTTTTTAAATAAAATAAAGGAGAGAAGGAAGGTGGGGTCTTCAATAGAAAGCTATTAGGGTCTCTAAGAATGGGAGGGAGCCTGGAAGGCCAACTGGAAAACCATCAGGAAACAAAAGAGCCCCTGAGGCTAGGCTGCAAAACCAAATGAAGGTTACACCAACAATGGCTTTGCTTACCTACTGCTCATCTTTGTAAAGACTCCTACATTTGGTTTTCTCTCTGAAAGTCACTTGCTCAAGATGCAGAGTCCTGGGAAGTGCTGGGAACGGGCACCTAATTGACTAAGCATATGTCACCAGCACACCTTCTGGCTGAATCACTAATTCCATTATTTTGCAAATTGGTAATTTTTTTTTTAAAGTTCCACACTGATCTCATTTTAAATCTGGGGTTGTCCCATAATGATTTTATTTTTTAAATATTATAAACTATCACACATGTAAGAGTTTAATGTGTTTATATAGTTAAGGAGTAATAAAACAAACATGCATCCAACCACACTGTTTAAGAACTAGAACATTATAAAGCCTACTACTTAGCCTCTCTCCAATCATACCCCTCTCTGTCCCAAGGTGGTCACAATCCTGAATTTTGTAATTAGTATCCCTTGTAATTTAACTATATTAATGTGTGGTTGTTCTGTTTTATAGATTTGGCACTTTTGAATGATACAAAGTGCAGTATGTACTATTATGTTAATATTTATTTTTCCTGGGCAACATTGTATTTCTGAGATTCATCTACATTGATGCAGAGTTGTAGCTCATTCACTGTATTCCCTTGTACGTGCGTATCATCCATTCTACTATCAATTAACATTCAAGATATTTCTCATTTTTTCTTTAATGTACAATGCTCTTTTGAACAACCTTGGTGCAAATGTATGAGTGTTCCCAGACAATATAATGCAAATTTGACAGTGTAATAAAGATTATCTTTTTTCCACCAACAAAAATCATGAAATCATTAAATCATTTCCAAACATTTATTTCACAAATGCCCTCTACTATACTACTTTCTTTAAAACAATTACTTGCTTAGTAAGTAATCTTGAGTGTAAAGATTAAGAGAGAGAATGTGTTGGTGGGGGTTGTCGTGTGTATGTGTAATGGGGGTAAGTGAAAGAACCTACTTCTCACCTTCCAAAATGGGAGATCAATAGATAATTCCCAGAATTGAAAAATCAAAAAGCAGTACCAGAAGCACATTATTTAGAGATACGAAGATAAATTCCAAAAGAATCAGATGTTAAGGGTTCAAAATAGGCCTGGCGCGATGGCTCACGCCTGTAATCCCAGCACTTTGGGAGGCCGAGGCAGGCAGATCATGAGGTCAGGAGATTGAGACCATACTGGATAACACGGTGAAAACCCGTCTCTACTAAAAATACAAAAACAAAATTAGCCGGGAGTAGTGACAGGCGCCTGTAGTCCCAGCTACTTGGGAGGCTGAGGCGGCAGAATGGCATGAACCCGGGAGGCGGAGCTTGCAGTGAGCCAAGGTCGCACCACTGAACTCCAACTTGGGCAACAGAGTGAGACTCCATATCAAAAAAAAAAAAAAGAGTTCAAAACGGTTGTTTCAGAAGAAAGTTCTCCAAGAAGAAGAGTGCAGAAACCACCAAGCCTTGTAGAATCATTTAAATTATGAAAATGTATATTTTAGTTTAAAAAAAAAAAAACTAAATTTTTAAAAAGCATAAAGTAAAACAATATCCCAGTAACTCCAATTTGGTTATATTAATGTATGCAATTATCACATGTCCCCTGAAAATATACACATCTAACATTTATCAATAAAAATAAACAAAACAGTCCTATAAATAAGCAAACAGCAAACATGACACAAAAATGAACCAAAAAAAAAAAAAAACCCTCACAAATGCATCTTAAATTATGCCCAACCTTACACTAATAAGAGAAATGAAAATTAAGACTATACCAAAATATCACTTTTCATGTATCAGACTGACAAAGATCAAAGGCTTGGTAATCATTCTCCTGGTGATGTTATATAGAAACATACTAACATTGCTGATAACAACAGACTGGCAGAATCTCAGTGGAAAGCTAAATTAATTTAATAAAAATCTATCAAAATTACATTTGCACATATCACTTAACAAAATTCTAAAAATGTGCCCACAGGTTTACTCCTGTCTGTACAAACTAACTATTCACTGCAGTGCTGTTAGCAAAAGTAAACATATAAAACAATATTTGTATTACTCACTTGGGAACTGATTAATAGGATGTTATGATACCTATTTAACATAAAACATCATATGCTACAATTTGTAGAATATATATATATACACACCCACACACACTTGT